TTGGTAGTTTCTTGGTTGTCTCTCGGTCTCCAGGCCTCCTGGTAGTATCATCGGCTTCGTCGTCACTTAGAACTAGTTCCCTCTTTCGAGAGCCTGACTGGCTGAATGGATCAGAAGCACTTGGTTGAGTTTCAGACCGAATTCTTGATCCTCCGCTCCCTTGCCCAGTTTGGTGGTGGGGAGATCGGCGTTGAGCGATTGAGGGATCCGACTTCATCAAAGCAAATTCCTGGGTGTAATATCCTTCATTGTTAATTGATTCAACAGGAAGACAAGATCATATTTTGAGGAAGGTTGAAATGTTTGAGTGCGTACCGGTGGAGGAGGATTGAATGCATTGAATGGTACGACTGGCAGCAAGTGTGAGTAGCTGACAACGATGGCGTTTGAAAAGATCTTATACATCCTTTCCTTCATGACTTTGAAGTCAAGAGAATCTAGGTCTTCACGGTTTGGGTCATGCTTGCCATCAAACTCAAAAGCTGTGCGGGATCTTTCTTTGATTGGAGCTAACCGACACTTGATAAAATGCCAGGTGATCTATTCTCCTTGAAGGCCCTGTTCTTTCAGCTTTATCATCCTATCCATCAGTTCTACTGCTTGTGCAGCTTCATCTCCCATTGGCAGTGAGTTCCAAGTATCCTGATAAACTGGAGGAAGACAGGAGTACTCGGGAAGGACAGGCTCGAGGTTTTGAACATAAAACCAGTTTGTGTGCCAGCCTTTATTTGAGGTCTTGAAGGGCATGGAGAAGTATTTTTGGCTTAGTGTTCCCCTGAGTTGGAAACCAGCACCCCCAACTACGCATGGTTTGCTCTTATTTGGCTGGGGCTTGAGGAAGAAGATGCGGCGGAACAAGGCAAAATAAGGCCTAATGCCCAGAAAAGCTTCACAAGCATGAATAAAGTTGGCAATATGCACTATGGAGTTTGGATTCAGATGATGCAAGCTAATCCCGTAGAAGTTCAGAATCCCCTGGAAGAATCTTGAGGTTGGAAGAGAAAATCCGCCATAGAAGAAATGCGCAAATACCACGATTTCGTGTGTGTCGGGGGTCGGGAATGCCTCGCCGAACACCGGTCACCACCCGATAATCTCTTTCGCTGGGAGAACGCCGTGCGCCACCATCTCCTTCAGATTATCTTCTGTCACATCGGAGGGCGCCCACTGACTTTCGAAGTTTTCTCTTTCTTCCGCCATGAATGTGAACTGGATGGTTTAATTTGGTCCGAGATATGGCTGGAGAGGAATGGGGAATCGGAGCGGTGGATGCGGGGAGAAATTTCGTGAAGCTTTTGAGGATGGATTGGAGCGGATTGATGAACCCTAACTTCGTCGGCGCGGTTCTGTACTGTAGCACGGAGTGGGGAATGGCGAGAGTCTCGGCAGGGAAGACGAAGCGACGTTTGGACTTCGGTATTTTTAGGGTATCGGGAGTACTAATGGGCCTTGGCATGTACAGTACTTCAGCCCAATTATGTTTTCAGCGTGGCCCGTTGTGATCCCTAGGGACTTAGGCGCTTTTTGCTTTGGCAATATGTGCTCACAATGACACGGCCCGATGCTGTTAAAATCCTTTTTAACGCGATTCAATAATTCTTTGGAATTATTATGATGCACATGAAAAGGTGCCCGACAGAAAGATGTTATACCATTTTTGTAAGCTTTTTTAGGCTACAAGAGCTGTTGGGTTAATTTAAGATGACTGGTTTGTTAGTAGTCATTCTCCTAGCATGTTATATGCTTATTTTGATTATGGTAAGGGTTATAGCCTAGGCTAATGAACTTCTTAATTACCATGATCTTTATCATATTTGGTGGATCATTTTAAGAGTTTCTTGCTCGGATTCTTACCAAATATATCTATTTTTGGACCTTTTGAGTGTTTGTCACTCGGCCCTTCTTGTATTTTTTGTCCTTGATATATTCAAGTTGAGAAGCAGTCGGCTGGGTATCTTACTAAGTGCCATGCGTGCTTCGCTATAAAACCACTCGGTTCTTGACTATATGTTTAGTTTTTCAACTAATCACATAGTCAGGGGCTACAACTAATTAGGTGCATCTACTCGATGCACCATGTTTTATTTTCGCCCTTCACAGTTTTTGATTTTTAGTACTCGGCAAGCTGGAGCAAGTTGAATTGAAGCACTCGGACTACTGTTTCTTTGTTTTGAGAAGGTTATTTCATCAACTGCGAAGGTCTCGGGGGCTACTGTGGAGATTATGGATACCCCATATCTGCATGACAGTTATACTTTAGTCGGATATACGGTACCAAATATAGATAGAATATCTTTATGAGGACTCAGGTTAGGTTCTAAACTTGTATGTCAAGAAAATACCCGGGATCATAGTCGGTTATGATTGTATTTTATCTGTAATCCCATATTCCGTTAGGATATAGACTGTACTTTGTATTACGGATCCCTTCCCCTATATAAGGAGGGTCCGTGTGCCTCTTGGGGCACGATTCTTTTTTCTCCCAACCATACAATCAATAACACACTCGGCGGAATCATCCCCGGACATGAGTAGGGTATTACTTCTTGAATAAGAAGGCCTGAACCTGTATAAAATTCCTTGTCTCCAAACCCATCCACTTTCCTAGCTTGATAGCTACCCCCTTTTATTATTGTCGAAATCTTGTTTCGACAGTCACCATAGGCGCCTCGTTGTCAAGGGGTACGTCGCGTACCACTGAAAGCACAATACCGTTAAATCCTGGAACCGGCAAATCCTGAAGATTGACGAAGTCACCACAGTTACCTCGCTGTCTAGGGGTACATCATGTACCGCTGAAAGCACAATACCGTTAAATCCTAGAAAATTCACTCCTATGGGGAGTCGAACCTAGGACTTAAGATGCTACTGAGACTCTTATAACCACTAGGCTACACACTCTTCTTTTTTTTCTGGTTCAAAGCCCTTTTGTTTACTTAAACCCTTAATTTTGTTTAGGACCAGTGTATAAGGCGATAATGAACTTGGTTTAGTTACAGGAGTTCAATGTAACCACCAGTTTTAGATTATCTAAGTAAGCATGTGCAGTAACCAGAGAGAGCATACAATAAAGTAACCAGAGAGAGCATACGATTTGTAGGCAACTCAATGCACAGGCTACAAGATTTTTTTTTTGAACGACTTGCACGAGACGGTGCGAAGTTCTATTGATAGAGCAGGAAAAAATTACAAGATTATAACCCTGGAGGGCCGTAACCAGGAAAAAGAAAAAAAATACCACCACCCACACACCAACATCGCCAACACACAAGCCCAGGAGAAGGCTAGCACCGGACCAGCCGCCGCTAAGCGTGACCGGCCGCCACTAGACCAACAAAGGGACACAGCCGAGATCGCTCCCTAGGGGATGCCAAAACGATGTCTTCAAGAAGAGAAGTGACGGAAAAACCGCCACCGTCATCCGTCGGGACTGAAAGGAGCCAAGACTGGGCTTACACCCGGCAATCACCCTTGAGGGGTGAGACCCACGGCTGACACACCGATGCTCCACCACCACACTAGCTCTGCCGACATGTGGGACCCCTGCTCTGGCGTCCCCCGCCGGCCAGCCTTCGTGCGCTGAAGACCGCGCCACACCCACCGGTAGCTTCTCCTCACACCTAGGTCGCCTCCTCCACCGCCGGCCGTGCCTCTCGCGCCAAGCCGGCGTCCTCCACCGGACGCGCCTCTCGCGCCAATCCGGCCTCCCTCCATCGGTTGCGCCTCTCGCGCCAAGCCGGCCTCCAACTCCGCCGCCCACGTCTCTCGCGTCGAGCCGGCCTCCACTGCCATCGGCTGCGACTCTCTGCGCCAAGCCGGACTCCGACCCTTCCACCAAACAATGCCGCGCCGACCAAATGCAGTCGTCTCCCACGCCCTCGGCTAGCCGTCCAGGGCCGCCATGCCTCCGGTGACCGTTGTCGCGGCCACCAGCCACCGCCTCCATGAATCACTGCCTCTGCCAGCGGCTGCTTCGTTGTCGTCCTCCGCCATGCTGCCGCCAAGTCCTTCGCTCGCGTCGTCAGCCGACGCCGTCGCTGCCAACTGCCGCGGCCACCACCGTCGCCGCCGTCGCCAACTGTCGTCGCTAGCCATCGCAAGTTGGTCGCCGTCGCCGACCACCACAGCCGGCCACCCTCCAGATCCGGCCGAGAGGCGCGGATCTGGGGACACCGCCGCCGTCGCCGCCGAGCACCGCGTCGTCGCCGCGTAGGGACCAAAGCCGCTGCCTTTGCGCCCTCGGCCGATGCCATCCCCGCCGCCATCGCCATCCCCGACGCCTTGAACCACCGTGACGCTGTCACCACCACCACGATAACCACCGCCGCCCAACTCAACCCCGCCACCAGCCGCCAGCTCGCCGGCACTATCGCCGCCGTGGCGGCCTCGCCGTTGCCAGGCAGCCACGGCCGTCATGTCGCGCTGCCGGCCACAGCCGCCCGCCGGTCAGCCACGGCCGTCGCGCCACCTGCTGCGGCCGCCCGCGCCCCCAGCCATAGCGCTTGCCGCCGACGTCGTGTCTCCCCGCCGACGCCACGCTCCCGCACCACCGCCGACCAGCCACGGTCGTCGCGCCACCGGCGTCGCTACATCCGCCGTGCTCCCGCACCACCACGGCTCAGATCCGGCAGCGGAGACACCGGATCCAGCCGCCACTCGCCTCGTGGCCGATGCTGGGCGCCGAATCCGGTGGTGGCTGCGCCGGATCCGCCGCCCCTCGCCTCGCCGCCATTGCAGCCTTCCCGAAGCTCCACGCCGCCCCTTCACGCCGAGGCGGCCACGCTGCCTAGGTTGGAGCCTCGCCGCAGCCATCCCAGCGGCCGCACGGTTTCCGGCGACATGCTCCGGCGGCGGCGAGGCCGGGGAGAGGAGGGGTGTGGCGGCGGCCGGGGGCTAGGGTTCGCCCCCGGTCGCCCGCGCGAGGACGACTGGGAGCGCTCTATCAGCGTGTATGATTCTCCGCTACAAGATTTTTATGCTACACTTGATCACTGTAGCTACTAGCTAGCTAGCTCAGCTTCTTGGAGAACCATGGCATGTCGAGGGCCGCGGCGGCGGCGAGCCTGTCTCCGGCGGCGTACTGCAACAAGCCGTTGAGCACGATCGAAGCCCGCCGGCGAGAGCTTCTCCTCGGGCACCTTGCGCCGCAGCTGACTCGGCCTGGTAGTGACGCCCAGGGGCAAGCCATCCATCTTCTCGTCGGCCACGCCGAGGACGCCGGCGACGAGGACCACCTGGTGGTACTCCGTGTCCGCGGGGAACAGCGTCTCGCCGGTGAGGAGCTCCGCCATCACGCACCCCAGCGCCCACATGTCCACCGCCGGGCCGTACTCCCCGCCGCCGAGGTACTGCTCCGGCGACATGTACCAGAGCGTGCCGACCAGCTGCGTCCGCGGCGGCGCCGCCGACGCTGGCCCGCCGAGGCCCAGGTCGCAGATCCTGACGCGGCCGTCGGCGGCGCCGACGAGGACGTTGCCCGGCTTGATGTCGCGGTGGATGACCCCGCGCGCATGCATCTGCCCCACGCCGGCGAGCAGCTGCCGCATCACGCCCCGCGCCTCCGCCTCCGTCAGCGCGCCGTCGAGGCGGTGGGTGAGGAGGTCGGCGAGGCTGGGGCCGACGTAGTCCATGACGAGGTGGAGCTTGCTGGTCTCCGGGTGGCGCGCCACCTCGCGGAGCCTCACGACGGCGGGGTTCCCCACGCACGCCGCGAGCATCTCGGCCTCCCGCAGCAGCGCCTCGTCGCCGCCGCCGCCGCCGCCGCCGTTCTTGTGGGCGATCTTGACAACGACCGTTTCGCCGGTCGCGACGTGGCGCGCCCTGAAGACGGCGCCGCACGCGCCCTCGCCGATGAGCCTCAGGCGGTCGTAGGATTCCATGCTCCCGAACGGCACCACCACCCCGATCAGCCCGGCGACGTCGCCATGTCTCGTAGCGGGGACGTGATGAGAGTCGTCGACGGCGGAGGCGAGGGTGACCGCCGAGTTCTTGGCCGCAGCGGCGGCGGCGGCGCCGGGTTCTCCGGTGCGCTCACGCCGCTGGGCGGCGAGCGGGCCGGCGAGCGAGGAAGAGGCCTTCCGGCGAAGCGCGCCCATGGCACACCGTCGATCGAGCGACGAGGTCGAGCCGATCGGCGATCGATTTCCAAAGGGAATGGGAGGAAACGGTCGATCGACACGCTCGCGGTCGGGCCTTATACTGTGGTCAACACGGACAGGGGATTCGGAGTCGGACTCCGACTCCGACTACATGCGTGTACAGGCTACGCGCGGGAATGCATGTTCGAGTTTCAGTACTATAGATGGCCAAAAGGCCCACCCGGCACGGCCCGGCCCAAGCACGGCTGGGCACGGCCCGATCGGCACTTCGTGCCGGGCCGTACCGTGCCAGCCCGAAGGCAAGGGTGGCCCATCGGGCTTTTTTAAATAAGTCTATTTCTCGTCTCTCCTCTTTGGGCTATTACATATGTATAGATAAAATAAGTCTATTTTCAATCCCTCCTCTTTGGACTGACATATGTATAGCTAAATAAGTCTATTTTCCGTCCCTCCTCTTTGGGCTAACATATGTATAGATAATAAAGTCTATTTTACATCCCTCTTTCATCGACCGCATATAATATGTCCATATAATATGCCGGCCCATCGTGCCGGGCTGGCCCAACGTGCTGGTGAAGGGGCCCAGGCACGGCCCGATGGTCGGGCCGGGCCAACACGGGCCCGACCTCCGTCGGGCCTTGCCGTGCTTGGGCCGGGCCAAAATGTTGTGCTATGAGCCGGGCTGTCGGGCCTCGGGCCTTTTGGCCATCTATAAGTTCGACCTTCAAAATTGTTGATTGCGAACGGGGGCATGAAAACTGGCCCAGTTCGCGTGCCTTGGCCCAGATCAGATAGGCCGAATATGTAGATGGACTTTTGTCTGGTTTCCTTTTTGGATAAAAAAATCCATTAGGATTCCCGCGGTAAGCCGATTCTCATTCTCAACCCTCAACCGTAAAGCCGGATGTATCGTCTCCTCCATCTCAAAACCAGATTAATGTACCTCCTCCTTTTGTAGTTTTTACCTTGGTTTTTGTTAGACGTGACATATTTGAATTGGTTCACACATGCTAACATTGTGCTTATGTGGCAATTCTACCAGAAAATAATAAAAAAATCATCAAGCCCACATGTCTCTTCCTCCATACGCCTCTCTCTTCAACGTCCATGAGGCAGCAAAGATGGCGCGCAGGCTTGCCTCCACCAATCAGCCAGATAGACATGCGTTGTTTCCGAGGGCTTCCTCCATGTCGTTGCCGCCTAGGGCAAAGGTTAGCACCGCTTGGATCTCCATGCACCATCGTTGATGAGGACCATCCTTACCAGGGGTGGATTCAGGCCTAGGGTAGCTAGGGCTTGAACCTAGGCATGGGTTCAAAACTCCATATAAATTCTATATAAGTTTAAGAAAAATAATGTGAATTTGTAAAGATTATAGAAATGAGCCCCAGGCGTGGCTCGTAGCTGGCTCTGCCACTGATCATCGCATCTACAACCTTGACCTCTACTCTGCCTACTCCCTGACAGCGATCTCCTGCACAACAACCTTGACCATGTTGTGCTCGCTGCCCGTCTGACGTTTGCCAAGGGAGGGACATCGGCAGGTCAGAGCAAACGTCGTCATCGCGTAGTGGCGGATCCCCGCGATGACACCACGCCCTACCGTGGCAACCTCTCTTGAGAGGACCTCATCGGCGACCTCTTCCACATCTCTATCCCCCATCCAACTCCACTCCTCCCTCGAGCAGTCATGGCCGTCCTCCTCTCCCCCTCCGTCCTTCCACAATGGATGCCATAGAGTCTTAGTTAGAGCTTGACCTCTCTCCACCGACGGCATCGATCTAGATGGAGTCAGCGTCAATGTATTCTCCTCGGGCACCTGACGTTGTTGTTCGGGTACACCATCGTGCGCGCCTATGAGCTTATCTCCTGGAGGCACTTCTTCCTTATTGCCGGTAGTGGTGGTGGGCTAGGAGGATGGAGCCATCGACAGTGACGGAGGTCGGTGTTGCTGTGGAGGGGCGTTGGCATTCTGCTAGGGAGAGAGGAGAGCTGGAGGCTGGAGGAAGAACATGAGATGTGGTCACTTACATGTGGGCCCAACATCCTTTTAAAAAAATTCTTTGCCACTTGGATATCACGTCAGCTGAAACCACCTTAAAAATAGATGAGGGAATTATTTTGCATTGGTTTTATACTTGGGGAAAGCGATATTTCCGGTTTTATATATGGTTGAGGGATTGAAAATAGATTCGAGCAATATTTGAGAGAATCAAAAGAGACCTTATTATTATTATTATTTCCTGCTCTATCTGTTCTTCCCGACACCCTGGTTTAGGTTTTAGAGCCGGTCATATATTTATTCTTGATTTTATATATCATCTACATGTTAATCGGAAAGGATTTTTATTTCCTGAAACATATTATAAACTCACGTACGGTCATAATCGGAAAGGGTAATTATTCATCCATAAAAGATAACTGTTGTGATGTTTGTGTTAATCCAACTGTTCAAAATCGTCGTTACAAGATCACTTGCTATGACCTCTTTCCGACTATATATTATTCCGCTTCCTTGAAGAAAGGCCAAAACATTTGTAGACGAGGTAACTAAAAGAGGATCAACACGAATGACAAATGTAAAACCACTGCAAAGTTCGGCTGCTATAGCTAGTGGTGGCTAATGTGCATATCCTATATATGTAAAAAGTTCATCCCCACTAACTCTAATTCTCTCTTCTCACAGCGTGCCACATCATCGCAATTTAGTTTGGCCATTAGATTTTCAATTTATGCTTGAGATTTCATCGATTAATTACTGCATCATCAGTTTAGCCATGTTATCATATTTACACTGCTATTAGCACGTACCACTAACATTGAGGCACATGCGTTTAGTGCACTATTAGGTACATCATCATATTACATTGTCATTACTACGTCGCACTAACACTAACACTCGTGGATCATGCTTAAAACCTTATCACCATGAATGTGAAAAGCCTCCGGCTTCTTCAATTACACTAGGAAAACGAATTGTCCTGAAGTTAATTACGCAAGCAGTTAATTACCCAAGTGTTAAAAAGAAAACGAGTTGACCTACAATTAAGCGGTTAAGCAATAGCACTACTAGAAATCAATAGAGCAATCAATTAATTTTAAGTGTTAGTATATGATCGGGTGGGATGATTCATGGTCCATGTAAGCTCCCCACCTCTCACCGTTGTCAAGGCTCATTGCACTACCGTTAGGAGTGGTTTGCTTCCCTAATCCCTTGGAGCTATGCTAAACCTTGGAGACAGGTTCAATGATTTTTCAACCCAGTTGATATAATTTGGTGATTGTTCATTCTTTAGTGGTAGTTGATGCCCATATACTCTTATTTTTCAAGTTTGTGTATAAATTTAGTAATTAAAATAATATTTCTATGCATCTTATATAATTTTACCATGCTCTTTATGAAAGGACGTTGCTGATGCAAAAGTATTGTACTACAGGTTATCAAATTGCCTACCAAAAGACTATTGCCCAAGCGTTTACGCATAAGGTTGTCAAACAAGTTGCTCCACTTGCATTCACCGTTTTACATGCATCGATTATGTTGATTTTCCAAAATGTTTGTTAAATAATCTCTTCCACAAAAGCGCTAATATAATAGCTACTATATGCATCATTGTTATTTTATTTGCTAGGCATGTCGGATTTATCAAGTAAAATATGCATGTCATGAAACTTCAGTCACAGTTGTTTTCTCACGCGTTTTTTCCGGTCACAGTTATTTTTCTTTCTCATGTTTTTTATGTCGTTTTCATGTTACATTCTTTTCTACAAATGGTAGCTCTTTTGTATACAAATGTTCCGTTGCAACGCGCGGGGTATTATCTAGTATATGTAACACTCCTTCTATTCCTATATAATTGTTACTATTGATTGTTATAACTTTGAGTACTAAAAATTTTAATCGATATATTATGATAATTAAACAGAAGTTTAATACTTATAGTTGGTGTGTAATTACTACACTTCGATAAGGTGCACCTATATATTTAAGTATTTAGAATTTCATTTTTACATAAAAAAAGACGAATGGTGAAAATTATAAATTTGAATAGTGAAAAGTAGCTAACGAAGTACTATTCTTTATATGTACTACATCAACATTTGCCCGAACAACCAATATACCACCAGATTAACAATCACTCAAAACCACCACCATGCATGTATATACATAGAGATATACATATACATATACCTATACTAGCTAGGCTAGCGCTACTAAAGCACCATCGTCTGCAACCTAGCTTGCGGCTGCAACTAGGGCACACCTGAAAAATACGCTACGTAATTACTATCACCGTCCTAAAATATAATAACTTTTAGCTATATATTTATACATGTTTATACATCATCAAAACTTATTATATTTTAAGACGGAAAAAGGAATGAATAACCAAACCCTAATATATATCTAACAATATTCTTCCCCACTCTCGAAGTATTTGAATTGTCCTCGTTTTCCTCCTCCAACTATTGAGATCGGTTATGACGTAGCGAACCCATCGCCCTCCATACATAAATATTTTTTTTACTGCTTCAACGTTCAACCATGACTGCACGCGCGCGAGGACGATGAGGATGGATTGAATTAACCGGTAGGTCGCCACCGCCGCCGCTCGCTGCTAATCACTCACTAATCAGCAATCACTGTGCTGCCGTGATCGCGAGCGGGGCGCAGGAAATGGTCGCGTCGTTCGCCGCCTTCGTCATCGCCTCGTGGAACGACGCCTCGTTCCAATCTCCTCCCTGCACATCGATCATTCCATTCCATTTAGCTAAGATCGTCCTAAATGCAATATTACTGGAAGATGTATACAAAAATGATTTGATGCTGAGTAGTTTGATGAGTAGTGATGAATGAAATGTGAGTAATTGCAATTAATTAATTACCACGATCTGGAGCTTGATGTTGGCGATGGCCTTGAGAAGAAGCTGCGGCGAGTAGGTGTCGGCGTAGACGGACAGCACGCTGATCTCCTTCATCCACCTGAGGCATTCCAGGATGTGGAGCACCAGCTCCACCACGTCGCACTCCACCATCACCATCACCGTCAGGCTCACCAGCTGCTGCGACTGCGAGTCCGCCGCCTTGCTGATCTGCACCTTGGCCCTCTGCTGCGCCCGGCGAGCCCTCATGGCGGCGTCCGCCGCGCCGCCGCCGCCGGCGATGTGCTTCTCCAGCTTCGTGTTCGTCCCTTCCAGCTCCGTGATCTCCGTCTCCAGCGACTTGAGGTACTTGGCCGCGTTGATCAGCACCGTCGTCTTGTCCTTCTGCATCGATGAGTTATCAAACTTTAATTAATCTTTTATAATAAACGTAGTTTAAATTATTAACTCTTAACATGATATCAGAGCGCGATACGAGAAAAGAAAATAAAGTTTAAATATCTCTTTTAATGAGGAAACGAGAAATAATTGCTTTTGTGATATTAATATCTCTGATGGTGGTGAGTGCAACTCTAATCCAATAATCTACGTGGGGATCGAGGTAGAAAATCTGTCATTATCGTGGAGCAGGAGCTAATAATATAGTTTGCTCGAATGATATGGACAGCTCACGTTGTCACTTCCGTTTCCATGAAACAGGTTGTTTCCTGGTAACCACTCAAATACTGTGTAAAGCTGTGCAAATTATATGACTTTTTTCTAAAGTTTTATCGCCACGATTCGTCATCAATCTAATTAGGGCTTTTGAAATTGCTTTCCTGTTGTCTTCTTCCTGACAGCTACCCTTGTCATCAACTTGCCAATTTGTGGACCAGCTAGATTACAGAGCAAGCAGAGACCCTTCCAATCGCCTTCCTCTGCTGATATGCCCATAGCTTGAAAACAAAATTGGTTGACTAGCCATTATGCTTGACCTTCAATTAAAATCCATCCTCTTTTTTACAAATTGGCAATGTTTAACTGCTGCCATAGTATCTGCAGTTAATCTTTTTTAAAGCACTGAAGGAACTAAATTTAGCATATCCTTTGTCGTATATTTAAGAGCTAATTGTCGTGTTGCTAATTACTTTTCTAAGAGGAATTGGTATTGTGATATCAACTTGGAGTCCATGAAACTGTGTATTCTTAATTTCTTATGTTTGTTTGACCGCACTATATATATTCCATCTCCGACGCATAAGAAGAGTTTTTGTTTATTTTTCATTGTTTGAATCCTGTAGACGTTTAACGGTTCAATGTGCAATTTGACAATATTCAAACTAATTAAATACTATTCGCGTTTGTTACAACTTACAACAACCATCAAAACACATTTTCTTTATTAAAATCATCATATTTAATACTTTAATTTCAAACATTTATATAACTTGCGGGTACGGCTGACTGACAATTATTGCCCTCACAATCATACTTTAAGGAAAAATTAAGGATAACCTTTGATTGTTAAGGTGGCATATGCCAAAAAGCCCCAAAACTAATTATTGACACTAAATGACCTACTATTTTATGCATGAAAAAACTAGCTAGTCTATCCCTTTCTCGTGCAATTGGCTCATTAAGTACTTTCTTTTGGAAGGTTCCCTCTGTGTTCCTTTCCAGCATTTCAGCGTGTAAACATTTGATTAAGAATCTAACCTAGTGGCCGGGCCTTCTAACCACCTTCCTTTTGTCAATGTTTGTTGTCTTGTAGTTAAAAAAACACTGCTTTTGACAGCGCAGCAGGATGGTCCTTTGTACTGCCAAGACTCTCACTCCATTTCTTCCAAGTCCACTTTGAAAAAGATTAAAAGGACAGAGAGGATCGATTCGATCCCTCTTGTCTCTATAAAAACCAAAACAAAAGGAGCCTTGTCTACCCAATTTGAACTATTTTTGTCACCCAATCGCAAATATAAAAAAGAATGCGTTAATTAATCCGTATTCGATTGGCATATATGCATTAGTTTTCTGAATGGACGGTCTACATATAGTATTATTGCAAGTTTGGTATGGGAAACTCTTATAATCCTTTAAGGGGATTGATTTCCTCTTAATCAGCTAATTAATTAAACATCACCTATATGGTTACAAATAATTTTATAAGAATTATAACATGGTGTATTGTATTAATCTATTACTCCGTAAAATTGTGATAGATGGCTCCTACTCTATTTTGTCGGGGTTTCTTTTCATCCCTTCGGTTGAGTGAGTGGAATATATCCACCATGCATGCCTAGTTGGTATGTATTGATAATGAACATTGAGTTGAAGATTTACACCTAGATGGATGCTAATTGAGAGATCTAGATTCTAGTTAGTGTTTTAAGGTAGTGAGAATATGATAGTAATTAATGTATGTAGGCATTGGGCCATAATTAAGATATAAATGTAGAATTTGAGATGAAATTTTTTAGATATTTTTTGTAGAATTGAGATGAAATGGAGTGAGTTGGGGTTTAATTTAGACTACCTTGGAGCAAGGTGGGAGGAGTGATCTGAGCGTGTGGAAGCTGTCGTTGAGCTTCTCCCTCCTCTTCCTCTCCGACATCATGTGGTAGAGCTGGCTGCTGTTGGTGGCGCTCGCCGCCGCCGCCTCCTCCTGCTGCCGTCCCCGCCCGCCGCCGCCGGGCTTCTGATCCATCGGCACGGCGAGGCCGCCGCTGCTGCTGCTGCTCTTCACCACCACGTGGCCGCCGTTCCCTCCACGCGGCTGCTGCGGCGCCGCCATGGCTGGCTGACCTGCAGGCTGGTGGTGCGCGCCGCTGTCCCGGCTGAACGGGGTGGGCGAGGAGGCGGAGCCGCCCGAGGAGGAGGGGGAGGCCGAGGCGGAGGAGATGACGGCCATCATGGCACGCATGATGGCGTCCTCGTGGTCGTCGACTGCGCCGCCGCCGCCGCCGCCACCGTCGCCGGAGGCGAACATGCCGTGCGCGACGGGCGGCGGGTACGGGTGCGGGACGGCGAGGGTCGACATCGCCAGCGCCGCGGCGGCGTCGAGCGAGAAGGAGGACATGGAGCCGGCGCTGTCGATGGAGAGGGAGCGGCCCGAGGAGAGCGACGACGGCGACGAGGACGACAGCATCAGGTGCTCGGCCTCGGCGTCCCCCACCAAGAAGCCACTCCCGTCGTCGCCGTCGTCCATGGCCACCATCCTAGTGTCACCCGACGACCCTCCCGCCATGAGCTCGTCGAAGCACGCATTGTCGCCGCCGCCGCCGGCGATGAAGCTCGCAGCACAGCTGAGATACAAGAAACAGAAGAGTCAGCTACAAACTCAAACATCTGAAGTTCTGAACACAAAAACAAGAAGACGACATCGTGATGGTACGTACTCGGCGAAAGCCGGCCAGAAGGAGGGGTCGTGGAGGTCGGGCGGCGGCGGCTGGTGGATGCCGGCGGCGATGTCGGCCGGCATGCTGTCCAGGCTGCACCACACCTCATCCATGGAGATCGATATAGACCTATACAATAGTTCCCAGACAAAACCAAGAAGCGCAAGAAATGGAGCTAGCTTAGCTATACACTAATGATGATTAGTACTAGCTAAGCCTAAGCGCAGGTGAGCTAGGGGGGGAGAAGAGTGGGAGGCAGCCTATATATGCAGGTAGAGGAGAGCTCGGCCATGGGAGCAAGGGGATGCAAGTGGGAGTAAAAACGAGAGAACCTGGTCGAGTCGAGTCGATCTGAATAGTCGCCGTGGCGCCGCGCGGTCAAAGTCGTAGGGTGGATGAGAGAGAGGAAGCAGGGCACGCGACGGGAGGGCGAAGAAGAAGAAGGTTCGAGGAAAGGTCAAATCCGGAGGCACACAAGGCACGGATCAACGGCGAGGGATTATTGTTGCATTCTTCTTTTATATTATATTCTCTCGGTTTCAATTTTTAGTGTGACCATGAGTTTTCGTGAGCAATTTTCATCGTCCATCTTATTTAATTTTTTTTATAATTAATATTTTTATTGTTATAAGATGATAAACACATAAATAGTACTTTATACATGATTTATGTTTTTATTTTTTAAAAAAAAATAAATAAGACGGACGATCAAAGTTGGTCACGAAGTAATAGCTATACTTAAAAAGGGACGGAGGGAGTATATAGTATACGTATATTATGTGCATGATTTTCTATTGGTGATTTGCGTGCACGTACCTTGGGTTTATGTACGTACTCCGGATCTGTCACCCTTGTTCGCTTCACCGGTGAAGGACTTCGTCCGATACGACGACTGAGGATTGTACTTGTACCGTTTGAAAATTGTCTTCGTGTTTTTCTTTTTTTCTAATAATGAAATTTATTTCGTTATTTGCTTCGGAAAAGTTACAACCAGGCCACTTGTCGAAATCGCTAAACTACCATCGTAAGCTTTTTTTTTTTCAAAAACTTTTACATGTCAATATAGTGTAATTCAGCAACAACTGTAGTGTAATTGCATCGTAGTTTTTATATACTCCCTCTATCCCATAATATAAGATGTGCACACATTTCGATATTCAACTTTAAAAACATTTGACCAACAATTATTATAATGTAAATTAAATTTTTATTTGCTAAAATTAATATCATTCTATTGACATTTAAATGTACTTTAATATGGTTATAATTTTGTTACAATAAAACTTATAATATATGAGATATTATAAATTAAAAAATTAGTTTTGAAGATTGTGTCAAGTTTGAACATACCTCTTATATTATGAGATAGATAGATAGAGTAAACCTAAGAGCTTGTGCATTGTAACCAAAAACAAATTGAGTTTGTAGCTTATTTAGTCAAATAAGCACACATTTAGTCCAGGTAGTACTTTTTATGATTTTTTTATTGAACAGTTTTGTGATTTCGAAATTTAGGAAGGGCTAGCAATATAACGGGGATGACTTATTCGAGGGTAATATAATAGTATATATTGCGGTGTCCAAACGTTAGTAGTAGGGGTGGTGTGGCAGAAGGACACTACCGCTACTAACATTTTAAGTGGTATATGTAGAAAATAAGGCAAGAGTTATATATAAGTTCTATGTGTTTTCTAATACAAATTATATAAAAATTATAATGTATAGTTATAAAATAATTATACTACAGTCATACTATATAAAGCTATAATTTGAAAGGTCTCCAACTAAAAACTTTGGGGCAATTTTCCCCAAAACTTTTTGCTGTAGTTTTTGTTAGAATAATTGAGCTAGACCCGATTTATTCTATTAAATCTCAAAGGCCCATAATAAATGTTAAGGATAATAATATCACCTCAGGAATTAAACGAGGAGTATCTCAACTTAAATAGGGAGTTATTGGAGGCTCCCTGTTGACCGGTTGAGGTGGGAATCGAAAAGCTACACGCGCGCGCGCCGTGGCGAGGCGAGGCGTGGCGGGCAATTCCAATTGTATCGCGTCGTTACTATGGCAACTGGCGGATATCACTCCTGCAATATAAGGAAACCGCTAATCCGATCAGATCTCGCTCGCTTGCTTTCCATCTCTGGTGTTCTTCCTCCTCCTCGCGCCTATGCTGCCTCTGCCTCCCCGCTTCTGATCGCTTGCGCGCACGAGAGATCGGAACGAGCCTGAGATCTGCACCGGGTAGGCGGGTGATCAGGTTTTTAGGGAGTGCTTCCGCACGACTGCTCTCGACTTCTGCTCTGTTCGTTGTCGTCTCGTCGTCCACCATGTCTGCACCTGGAGCCGCCGCCGCCGCACCTGGAGCCGCCGCCGCTGCCGCCGTCCCTGGAGATGGCGCGCCGGGAGCCGGAGCCGCTGCGAACGTCAACGTCAACGGAGGCAGTTCTGCCTCACAATCCAGCGGAGGGATATTCTCGGGGTATATCTTTCTCCTACTGTTAACTCATTCTCTGATACCTCTGTTAGTCGTGTTAGTCGCAATTCTATTGCGTTCTTGGTATGTTCATGATGCTTATTATACTTTAAGCATGCTCCTGGTTATGTTACATTTTATCACTAGATAACCCCACATTGTTCATACCATGATTATTGTCTTAATATTTTGGATTAAAATATGTCGATATATGACTATATTTCCAACAGTTTTTAGATAGCTCCCATTATTACAGAGGTAACATGTTCAATAACTGTGAATTATAAAATCACAGTTTCTTTAGAAAACAAGAAAATTACTTTGTAACACTAGCCAAGCAGAAATAACACCTACTACTAAACTTCTATATATGGTTGGTGAAAATATATATGACCATTATTTTTACGTAGCGGCTTGCGAGTGGTATATAGCGTTTGTTTTTCTCAAACTAACAAATAGAATCTACAAAATTAGTGGATGGTCATTATGCCAATTGATTTTTAAGTCCATCAGCGACTGAGTTCTAGATCAGTCTTTCTCTTAGATCTTATCGCCGTCTTAGCCATTGAAGCCGATCGTGCACCATCTGCAGCAATCGAAGTCGTTTTGTATGTGTTTTGTGCACCATGGACCAATGAATTCAGGGGCGGATCTACCCATTAGGCAGGGTATGTCGACCGTCCTAACTACGACCCGTGTCGCCCCACACCCCTAAAGACCCCCCCTATCTCTTAAAGTAGTCATAGGCCATCAAAATTAGGCATAACAAGGTGTAAACACTCAATAGATTAGTTCGTCTCTTCACAACGCACGCACGCCACAAACAATGATTGAGACAATTATGCAATTGAACTATAAATACGATATGTGTTGTATTTGATTGCTCTTATCAAGTGAATATCTCTGTTCTCCGCCCCATCTATATTTTAAAGTTGCGTCCGCCACTGAATGAATTTGCTTTTCGTAGTCTGATTTCTCCTTTTGTTTCTCCATGAATAAATCAAATATGATGTCTTGCATACTAATATATGCAAATGTAATATGTTATATTCCATCTTTTTCAGATTTTTATGTTAGCTATTTAGCTTGCATGCGACACAGAACGGTTTTTCGGTACGGTTTTTCTGTACGAGACCCCCGGTAGGTTCCAGGCGGGCCATAAGTGGCCGCGCCTGGAAAAACTAGTCCCCCAGGGCCAGTTGATGGACCGCACGCGAAGATGTATTCTACTATCTTTTATGAGAATATGCGCATTCTACTATCTTATTTATGTCATATATAATATGATTTCTTAATTCGTACGACTAACGACAATCCCAATATGTAGTACGCATACCATTCGATAATCCGATATTGCTACCGGTTAATATAGGACAACATATTCCCAAACACCTAGGCAATTATATATAATGGCACATGGGAAGATCTATTATCACGTGCGGCAACACGACCGCATGGGAAGATCTATTATCCCGTGCGGTCGACTTAACTCGACCGTACAGGATAATTGATCTTCATATGCAGTCGCCTTAAGTCGACCGCACGGGATAATGCATCTTCCCATGCGGCTGGGCCGCCCGCACGTGAAAATATGATTATCATAGACCTTCTCATGCTGAGTTTGTTTCAAAGGGTTACCAACCCCTCTCCCTTGTTTTCTACGCGCACGCTTTTCAAACTGCTAAGCGGTGCGTCTTTTGCAAAAAGTTTTTATACGAATGTTGTTTAAAAAAATCATATTGATCCATTTTTAAAAAAAAATAGCTAAAACTTAATTAATCACACGCTAATGGACTACTCTATTTTCCGTGCAAAATAGATTTGTTCCCAACCCACCCCAACGAACACAGCCTCAGGCATGCGGGCCGGCCTTCCTCACGGGAAGATGCCTTTCGGCCCACACGCAAAAACCCTTTATGTAGTAGTGAAATGACCTTGAAGGATCATTTCAGATCTTTTTATTTGAAACTTTTTAATTAAATTTTCAAATAAATCATTTGAGAGTTTGTTTTTAAAAATAAATATTTCTGCCCATGAGTGGTTAGATTGTTTTCTATTGAGGGGAATTAATGAGAGGTTAGATTTTGTTGCCAGGAGTGCCCAACTTCTTGCCGCTCCATAGTTTACCACCCAGAAGTACAGGACCCTTGTTGGTACCAATTGGGAACCGGGTATAGGTGTTTATGCAACGATGGAAATATGTCTAGTGGAATTTTTCGCTCCCTCGGAATAAGTAACTGGAGTCTGGAGACGTGGGGTATAGAGATGTACTTAAAACTAGGAAATAGAACAGTCAGAGGAAGACACGTCTGAAATTCAGACCATTATGTTTGGAATCCTATATTACTTACTACGATATAATTAGAACATGTTTATAAAGCTTAGTATGCATCAAGTCACGTCATCTAGAAAACAAGAAACATTCAATACTTCTTGCCTTAATCACAACCATCGATCTGTGCATTATGTACTATTACCATTCCCCATCAAGCTTAACATGCACTATCTCGTCTTAGCTCAATGAGTCCCTTCAAATATTTTTAGAAAAAAATAAATAAATAACTGTTGCACCGTGCAGGGCACATAGGAAGATGCGTCTATTTGGGCATGTGCAATAGTTATTAATAGAGAGCATTTAGCCTTATTAATTAAAAATATTTATTGATATAGGAGAGAGGAGAGATAAACATCGTCGCGACAATTAACAGCGAAAAAAGTAGGAAAAAGAAAAAATATATGAAAAAAAGGTTGTTTAGACAAATTGTTAGTCTTTACTGTCTCACTGTTGTAAGGATATATAGTCTTTAAATTAACGTATATTGCTTAAAAGTGTATAT